TGCGGCTGCTGCTGCTGCTGCAGCTCTTGCTGCAGCTGCGGCTGCTGCTGCTGCTGCAGCTCTTGCTGCAGCTGCGGGTGCTGCTCTTGCTGCTGCTGCTGTTGCTCTTGCTGCTGCTGCTGCAGCTGCAGCTCTTGCTGCAGCTGCGGGTGCTGCTCTTGCTGCTGCTCTTGCTGCAGCTCTTGCTGCAGCGCTTGCTTCAGCGCTTGCTGCAGCTCTTGCTGCAGCTCTTGCTGCTCTTTTTGCTGCTTCTGCTTCCTCCACACGGCGACTGTCGCCCCAACGAACGCTAAAAACCCAACGATAGACCACAGCAAAGACACCTGCAGCAGCAGCAGCAGCAGCAGCAGCAGCACCATCAGAATCAGCAGAATCAGCATCCAAAGCAGCAGCAACACCATCAGCAACACCATCCACAGCAGCAGCAGCAGCAGCAGCAAGAGTAGTAAAAGCAGCGCCATCAGAATCAGCAGCATCATCGTCAGCATCAACATCAGCATCTACATCATCAGAAGCAGCAGCAGCACCATTAGCAGCAGCAGCACCATTAGCAGCAGCAGCACCATCACCATCACCATCAGCACGAGCAACATCAGCAGCAGCAGCATTAGCAGCAGCATCATCAGCAGCAACAGCATCAGCAGCATCATCAGCAGCAGCAGCATCATCAGCAGCATCATCATCAGCATCATCATCAGCATCATCATCAGCAGCAGCAGCATCATCATCAGCATCATCAGCAGCATCACGAGCAGCAGCAGCAGCATGAGCATCATCATCATCATCAGCAGCATCATCATCATCATCAGCAGCAGCAGCAGCAGCAAGAGCAGCAGCAGCAGGACCTTCATTCCGACAGCAACTCCGAACAAGTCGTTGAATATGCCGGGCAGCAAAGAGCCGAGCATGTAACCGAAGAGAGTGTACAGCAGCAAAGCAACAGCTGAAGCTTCAGCTCTTCTCTCTCTTTGTGTACAAGCTAAGACAATGCCTGTAGCTGTAGGCAGTATACCTCCGCCTAAGAATAGTATTAACCAAATAGAGAGCAGCGCAGCAGCAAATGCATGCGTTGCTGCTGCTATAGCTCCGCAGAATATACACCCTGCAGCAAGTACACTCAGCAGCAGCAGCGACAGCAGCATTGCTCTGCTGCTGCTGTAGCCGCCGCTGCAGTCAACGATCCAGCCTCCTAATAGGATCCCCAGCAGCGGCGCTGTAATTGCTGTTATCGTGAAGCACAGCAATACTGTTGCCGTCGGCACCTGAAGACAGACTCATAGCAAACAGCAAATATACTCTCGCTTCTGCTGCTCATCCTGCTGCTCATCCTGCTGCTTGTGCTGCTAGGGATGCTGCTAGTGATGCTGCTAGTGATGCTGCTAGTGATGCTGCTGTTCATGCTGCTAGTGATGCTGCTGTTTGTGCTGCTGCTGCTGATACGCTGCTGATATGCTGCTGATGCTGATGCAGCTGCTGCTCCTGCTGAGGCTGCTGCTGCTGATGCTGCTGTTTATACTGCTGCTGCTGTTTATGCTGCTGCTCCTGATACGCTGCTGATGCTGATGCTGCTGCTGCAGCTGCTGATATGCTGCTGATATGCTGCTGATGCTGCAAATGCTGCAGCTAGTGGTGCTGATGCTGCTTCTGCTGGTGTTGCTGATAC